GCCTCGGCCGTCTAACGAGAAACAAAGTGGGGTTGTCTCAAATTGAAATATCAGCGTGTAATCAGTTCCGTGCCATGTCCGGATTTCACGCCTCAGGGATAAAGAGCATATCTTGCTCTTTATCCCTGAGGCGTGGTATTCGGACAGACGCACAGAGCTACACTTTGCTTTAGCGTGCTTAAACTTTGGGGTCTACCGTTGAAAGTTTTCCTCAACACCCAAAAATTCCCAGTGAAATTTGAAGGTCTCACCTTTGTCGAACGATCCCCATTGAAATTGCAGATCAGAGCTTCCGGTCCACATTGTGGCAGATCTCCATGGGAACTTGCCTCAAGTTTTACGTGTGTTCAAATTTTGCGGTGTCCCTCAGAAGGAAACATTTCTTTTCCTCGGCGACTACGTTGATAGAGGTGTCCAGGTAGTGACAGTTTGAGTTTGTAGTATTAATCATTTCTCTACTCTACTATTTCAGGGGATTGAAGTAATCACGTTCTTATTTTGTCTTAAAATCCGCTACCCATACCAGGTTGGTACTAATTGTTTGACTGTTGAGAAGGATGAGAAGGAGGAGAGGGTGCACTAAGAGGGTGACATGTTTTGACGGTGACTAAGCCACGTCAAAAAATGTAAACTGTACAGGTTTCGTTGGGAGGCTGTGGACCAGCACATTACATGTGGCTTGACTCCGCTGGAGAGTGCTCCCCCAGAAGCACATAATGCCCTCTCTCAATATGCCGCCATGTTGTGCTTAGGCTGACAACATCATGTCGTTGTAGAAACATCCAGTTGAAACGTTAGTCACCAGTCCATCTGACGGTAGGGTTGAGTTTTAGCGGTGGCCATGCGAGGAGGAAACCAAGCATGCACTCAGCATGCTGCGTCTGCTAGGGATGAAACTCGTTCATAATCGACAGGGCTGTTCTTGTTCTGGAGTTTCCAGGATACAAAGTCTGTTGGAACCTCGGAAACATAACACATCACCTTCTCTCCATGGCTCTAGTCGAGAAACGTGTGCTTGAATGAATTCAATTTATGCGTTGAAGAAAGAAGGATAATGCATTCCTCATTCCACTCCCCTTCTCAAGAGCGGTGACATTTGAATGTGATTTGGCCTATACAGTCAGTTCTGAAGCGCGTTCAGTCACTTCATATCCCGGATATGAGAAGGGCGTGGCATTGCGTAGGATGCGTTTTCGTGAAAAATTTCCATTTGTAGCAACCGTCATCCCATTTTATGCTGGACAAAGGCACGAGCATAGTTATTTCAGAAGGATAGGATCTCACCAAATGTGCTACTGCAGTCATGTCCAAATGAAGCACACAACCAAACCCTCCCCTTTCGCAGGACATGGGATGGGCGCTATTGTAAATCTCTCAGAGAAACTTGGCCTCATCTAGTCGACAAGGCTGGCCAGGAAGGAAGGCTGATCTGAGTGTAGTTCGGTTCTGGACTTGACCCCCGGACCATGTATAGTAAGCGGCGCCTACTACACAGTCCTCGATCGTCGCTTAAAATCTGTCTTTGAACACGTACAGGCCCATATCTCACATAGGATAACATATATTTTGACTGTTTGGTTAAAGGTCTACTTGCTTCGTGGCAACCATGAGGATGCAAACACTACTCTTAACTATGGCTTCTTCGATGAGTGTATCACTAGATGGCCTTCTACCGAAGAGAATGCACCAGGTGTTAAGGTAGGGCGTTCTTAGTTCGTTTTACACTTCTGCGGCATATAAACGTTTTCCAGGTTTGGCGGACCTTTCTCGAAGCTTTCAACTGCATGCCCGTGGCGGCCATTGTAGCTGAAAGAATATTCTGTGCACATGGTGGAATATCTCCATTCATCGACAAGTTGGAAGATATTAACAAAGTCAGTTACTGTTTTTTTGTAAAAGTATCCTTTGTCCTACTATATATAATTCACTAAGTATGTCTGTCAGTGTAGAGTGGCGAGCTACGCGTGGTTAATTTTCTTCTCGCCGAAAACAGTAACAACTATGGGCCTCATTCCCCTGAAGCTGAGGGAACCACCGACAGGGCGACGTCGGCTGGGACCGCTCGGGCGAGGCTGCTAAAATCACAGGGCCAACGGAGATTTAAGTCGCCCAGGACTAGGATGACGATCTGTACTTTCAACGCACGGACGCTTGCATCGGAAGCTCACATCGAAGATCTGATGTTGCAAGCCAGGAAGATCAAGTACGACGTCATCGGACTGACCGAGACGAGGAGGCA